TAAAACATTAAACCAGAAAGTAAATCTAAGTCCTCCTCTTTATCTTCCAACTCCTAGATGAGTCAGTGCTTGATTTTTAAGTACAAGTCAGAGTCATCAATGCTCAAGTCCAAGTCAGGTCGTACACTCATGCGCATGATGAGAGGGATCCAAATAATCATGCTTTTTGCAAAATAAAGTGCAAAAATAGATCAGGGTTGTGGGTAAGTTGTACACCAGACCTGATTTGAGCTTGCAGGTCTGGTGTAACATACAAATAGTCAACTGAAAGGGTTAAGTGCAGATGAACCCAAGAACAGTTTTCATTTCACTCCAATATGAAAACACGTTTCTCTAAAAGTCCTCCTGAAAGCTGCTTTCATGGGCGCCCTTTGAAAAGACACGCATGTATTCACTGATCTGATGTTGCTACAATTAGTATGGCACTCTCATCTGGTATGAGGTGCCTGGCAGCTGTTGGTATCTGCACAGCTAAGCCTGCTGCTGTTCGATCTGAGACTTTTTTAGTGAGGAAATCCAGGGCTGACTAACTCATTTCAAAACAAAAAAACTCCAGACTGATTAAAAATGAATAACCTCTGGGAAACCGTAAAAAATTTGAGAAGGATGGGATGATGTATAGTTGGTTGAATGTCCGAATGACTGTACTGTCTGTCAGTGGTGATGCATTATAAAGCAGACGAACAGAAGGTATAACAATAGCTGGTGTTGATGGGCCAAAAATTGAGGCAGAATAATAACTGTAATAATGATAAAAATATGTATTCAAGTCTTGCTTGACCCCTTTTTGCACTCCTCTGTAATGACAGTTTGTCAGGGACGCCCCTGATGGAGATATCTGATCTTTTCTTCAGAACAATCCTCTTTCAACTCTGTCTGAACTCTTATTATCGCCTGTCTGTTGACTTCACACTGATGTACTACGCAGTGACTGATTGCCCATACATATTTTCAGAAATAATATGTTTGTCAGGTCTCCCGCTGGTCTTTGATATAGATTGCTTTTCTTGCAAACACAAAAGAATAGTTGAAATTAGTCCTGTCAAACACCATTGCTTTTTGAACATTCGGAGAGCAAAATAAAGCATTGTTAAAGTGACAGACTTGAAGAGCTTTAATTTTAATGTCTTTCTCAGACTTTACAGGGTCACTTGTTCTGTTATTCAGACCGCAGGGATGGTGCAAATGTTTTCTCCAAAGTGTTTTTACTCAAACGTCTAAAAAGCCTCCTCGCAGTCTATCTGTAGCGAGTCATTTGATGGTTTTGTAAAGGGTGTTAGTGCCCATCGGTTTGCTCTCCGGAAATAAACAAAACAGCTCACTTTCACCTTGAAGGTGTTAAAAAAAGAACCTGTATACGGTATTGATTCTGCGGAGCCTGCTGGGCTTTATGAATTAGTGCTCACCATCAGCCCAGTCGGAGCCCTCACCTCTGTATAGCATCTGAGGATTCACACAGTGTCTGAGGGCTGTCAGCATTATCAGTATGCAGCACGCATGCCTGCAGGTCTGCAAATAACTCTGTGGCATGCCCCCCCACCCACCTGCCTGCCCCACCACCCAGCCCATTTGTTGATCTATACTTTATTGCTATATTTATGAGTAATACACAGGCTCCAACACAGTCGTTCCAATCAACCAGGGGCTGTACGAAAATTTTTCCCCGCCAGCTATAAAATTTAATGAATAATTTGAATAGATGCTGATGCAGATGGAGCTGCTGGTCAAGTGGGTTTATCTGATTTGCTGTGCTACAGGGGTCCGTGTTTTCATTTTTATGAACAAAGGATTAAATCTTGTAAATCTGCCCAATTTACCGGTAAGCTCTCAAGATAAAAAATGAACACGTCAAACAACTTGTGATACAGGATAACACGTTTCTTTAAAAAGTAGGTACTGGCTGAGAGTAAATGGTCTCAAACAGATTGGCTTGCAGCCGATAAAAAGCTCTGTGGACTTCAATGATTCCACAATGGAGACACAATCAGCACTAAGCCTGTGGAATAGCAGGAATCAATAATAGATTTTGTACACCCGAGAGGAAGGGTTTATATCCGACAAATGACAATCTTCTGCCAGATATTCATTCATTCATTCATTCAGCTCAGAATGTGATCAGGCTGAGTATTAGTCATTTGAAGAAAACCAACAGAGAGGAAAAAAAGGAGGTTGTGAGCAGAATATAATCTACAGGATATATAAAAAATTATAGCAAGGCCAAGAGGATCAAAAGAACGCCGTAACTTAAGTGAAAGTTTTCTGTTCAGGCACGATGTCTGTGCTTTCCATCTTTAAAATGTCTTTGTAATTAACATATTTATGAGTGTATTCCGGGAATATTCATGCATTTTCTATTGATTTATTTCACACAAGAATAGAATGCACAGGGCACATGTACAAAATATAAAAATGTGTGCCCTGTGCGTGGGTTTGGTAGAAATCTGCAAAAGGCTTACATGTAAACAACACCCAGAGGACATCCATCCATTCAATATCTATACCACATATCCCTCTCAGGGTCACAGAGGGCTGCAGCGGTCTCAGCTGTCATTGGGCAAGAAGCGAGGGACAAACTGGACAAGCGGCCAGTCAATCACAAGGCTGACATACAGAGACAAACAACCAAACACACTCAGACCCACACCGACAGGTAATTTATGGTCAGCCTTGCGGAGCATGTCTTTGGACTGCCAGGGGGAAGCCAAAGTGTCGGGAACTCACATGCATTTGGAGGACATGCACGGTTCCTGTTACTGGCAACTTGGAACAGTCCTACTCCAAGGTGACTAATCAATGCACCATGGTGTAGCCCTGATAAAAAACACTAAATAACAAAGTGCAGGTGTAGAAATTTAGTCAGAGTAAGTAGAAATACAGACAAATGGAAATAAAGAAAAGGTATCATCACTGTTTGGGGTTATATATTCTTAGTTTTTATGTGGAAAAAAAAAACAGTAACACAAAGGTTTAAGTTAAATTCACAATTTCATTCCATTTGATATTGGATTGGAAACTGAGCATTTGATGTGTTGTCCAAAGGAGGGTGCCCATTTTTTGATTTATTTTCCTTAGAAATGAAGTCACACTACTAGCTGAACAGTACAGTAAAAAATGTTAAGAGGAGAATTTGACAGTCAGTAGCACAAGAACTGTGAAGAAGTGTTTGGATCTTTAGTCGATTTTTTTTCTTCTTTTAACCAAGGACAAGCTCATATTTTCGTCAAAAGGGAGAGGATAATTTACAAGTGCTTATCGAAGTAACTTTTAACATTTATATTTCCATGGCAACTGTACAAATCCAATTCCCATGGCAAGGAGAATCATGTGATACAGCCAAATTCTCTGGAATTTATTCTACTGGCTGCACACTTGTAAAATGATGACACAAATAACTTGAAGCAAAATCCCTGTCCCCCATTGACAGTGCTTAATAACTTAATGGTTGTATCGTTTTCTGTGAATAGTACATTTTAATTACATTATTTTTTATTGTTTTTGTGCCTGGTTCAAATAGTAAATACGAGTTGTAATCTTTAGTGTCTGTTTGGGCTTTTTGTCTCTGGCACTGCAGTAAAAGCTGTCTGGCACTGACTCAGCCACTTAATATGCAAGTATTTCCACCTACTGGTCAAGTGCTAACACTGCACATCATCCCCATGCTTTTTATTTTCAAGTTTATGATACAAATCTAAATTACTGCTGCATAATAGAGATTTGGGCAGATACTAGACATGCATGTAAAATTTGAGCATATTTATAGAATAGATTGCAGTCGGTGGAGCATATCACTGGCAGCCTCTGGGGTTTATGGCTGTTATCAAACAGGCTGGTTCAGGCCTGCATTGATTTGTGTCTCTGTTCTCAGGTAGTCCCGCGTGTAATTCAGTCCACTGTGTCCCTTCATCCATGCTGCCAATTTCCTCTGTCAAAAAAGCATGACAAAGCATGCCTGCAGTTCTTGTTGTACATTTTACATAAAGTCTGTCATCTAAATCTGCTCTGATGTTCAGGGAAGAGAATAGGTGGTGCCTCCCCCTCTTGTGGTTTGATGCATTATTACATTGGTGTGCATATGCAGTTCTTAGCTGTGCCCGCTCATTAGAGGTTTGATATCCATATTGGTGCTTGAGAGATGCTTCAGACTCTGCCATTTGTTATAAAAATGTATGTGCATGGACAGCGCAGTGTGCTTCATCGCAGCAAAATACCTCAGACAATCATTTTCCTGTATCATGTGGAGCTATGCGAGTGTCTGTGATCATGTAGACAATGTTTAAGAGGGGCGAGAAAGAAATCAATGTCAGGATTGAAGTGGTTTCCTTATTTCCTTTGGAGTGCAGTGTATTGCTGATTGAGCGTTCAGACCCATTCAGAACCAAGATTGCCTCTCCTTTTTATAGGCAGCTCCAGCTCCGATTGACTCTCAGTCTCATGATGCTGGTAAAAATAGCTTTATTCTCAACTGGCTCGATTTAATTTTGCAGGCCTCTGTCTCCACTGTGATAGCTGATGTGGAGGAGTAGATTCATAACAAAAGAGTCAATATATGAAAATTGCAAGTTTTGTATTTTATTTTGTCTGAAAAAGCAGCAGTGAGTGAGCAACATCAGGGATGACTGCAGCAAAGCCCAATATTTGTGTTTTTCATTTGTGTGCATGTGAACAAACTCTTCTACCTAGATGCTTCATTGTGGATGCGTTTTCTTTTGACAGTTAGACGAGTGTTGGGAGTAGTGATTGTTCTTCCATGCGTTTAGAATTTCCTTCTTTAATCTCCTCCTAGGAAGCCGCTAGGCTCGGCTGCGAAGCATGGATGGCTGTGTGAGTTATGGCATGCAAGCCTTTCAATTGTGGAAAGAATGGATGAGAGGGAGCATTTCACCCAAGAAAACGCTAATTGTGAAAACTTATCGCATCTCTGTGCAGTCCTCCCAGGTAGCAGATATGACAAAGCTGCAATGTAGGACAGACTGGATTGAGCACAAGGGGAACACTGGTCCCTGGGGGTGATGGTAAAAAGCCACAGGAAAATGTGTTTTCTGTGCCGATGAGATGGTAAGGAAAAAACCCTCTTCTTTTTTAACTTCCTAAAGGCGCAGAATTCATGCCTCACTTTCTTTTCCCCTTTTCTGTTTAGTGTTTATCATGCATGCTGTGTGTGTGTACGTGTGTGAGTGTTTGTGTGTATGTGGGGTGAGTGTGGCGGGGCATCATTGGGTGGAATGAAATTTATCAAAGTCAGTGGAGCATTGTGATGAAAGCTTTGTGGGGGAATTTCAACCACGACTATAGGCAGGGTCCATGCAAAGTGGTTAGCTTTCTCTTGCTTTTTAATGAGAATTCTCCCCAGCTATTTTGGTTCACAGGGTCTCAGTATGGCTTTAACCTTTGCTGTTTATACTGTCAGCTGAATTGGATGGTGAGCTAGGTTGTGAGAATTAGAATCATCCGAAAGCTGTTGAGCGTGCCGAGCATCTGTGCAGGCATCTATCTTCCCGCTACTTCCCCAAAGACAAATCCTCCATATTCAATTTGTCCCTTCCACTTTTCATTTGGATGCTGATTGATTCACAGCTTCCCCATCCACCATAATCACCAAATAATTTACCTAGCTGTTATCAAGAGGCAGATAATGGAAAAGGAAATAAATCCCAATCTTTACTTTGTCGGGCCAGAACATTACAATCAAATCCCGGAGTTGTTTGTTAGAAAACAAGAACGGAAAATGGAAGGGAACGCTTTAGTTATTTGGGTGATTGCTTTTGCGGTTTATTACCTGTGCTCTTTGTCTTTGTGTCCAAATGGCTTCACACACCTAAGGCCAGACATTTATTTATAATAACCTGGCACATTACTGTAAATGGCACGGCTGAGACCAGCTATGATGTCCTCTGCTACTCGCAGAATGAGCACAGCCCATTGCCTATGCATTTACGACCCCAGGTACAGCAGCACATGATATACAATTGACATTAACTCACTACCACTGTCAATGGAGCACGGTAAACACATTCATGATTGCAGCACAATAGCCTTGCGTCCAAGCATGATGGATGACTCACCATCAAACTACCTTTTGATGACAGATTCGCTCTGATGCATTTAATGCTGCAGGTTTTCAACAGTTTGGGGTGGTACACAGCAGCTAACATGGAAAACAAAGTATGCATCAGCAACGCACTATGAGTTGTCATGTCAGTTTTTATTATTTAAGCTGCTTTTTTTTTTTTGAGGCAATATTTGATCTGCTGCTGATCCATTGCTGCTCATTGGTCATATCTTGGAAATTCTGATATTGAATTAAATGTTCAGTAAAGAGTTTTAAATTATTAACAGACAGGAAAAATAAATTCATATATCATCCATTTCGAACTGCTATGAGCATGTGGTGAAAAGGGCTCTAAGTAAAGATATCCAGAAATCTTTCTCTCTTTAACACACACCAACAGTTCAAATCTGCAGATTTTCTCAGACCACATTTTCACTGTAGGTTGAATATAGCGCTTTTATACCAGGCTCCAGACAGTTCCCAACCTGCCAACTGCTGACTAAAATCCCAGTAATAGTTTTTCACATTTATGTAACACTTGCATAACATGATGGGTTCCATTATTTAAAAAAAATACACCCTGAAATGATTTTTTTTAACTGTAGAAAATGCACCCATCATCTCATGCAGCCTCGTTGACACTCTGCCAAACATCTTTAACTATCACTTTATTTTAGTCCTTAAACTGAGAACTTGTTGTCCTGACTCCTATAACAAACAGGCACTGACATTGGCACTGCTGGCTCCCACTCATACCTCTGGCTATTGTATCTGTAATTGAACTCTAGTCCACTGCTACTCAACATTCCTGACCACTCTGCCTGTGACAACTTTGCATTACAGTGCGGTGAAGGTAGGAAGGTCAGAGCAAGAACATACTGCAAGACTATCAGAGATCCGACTAGGGTTTCTGCTGCCGCTTATGCTTATCTGCTTTATAATTATCCTGAATATAGTCCAGTTTTGCATGAGTAAAAAGTGTAAAATTCATAGGATTAAATCCTGCAAAAATGTTAATTTAATACTCAGATAACAGAGCACGGATGCAGCGGAGTTCAAAAGTCCAAATAGAAAGTCTATTTATAGGAGCTCTCATTTATGACACATTAAATTTAATATTCTATGCTTACTAAAAGCCTGAATGTGTATTACTTTGGTTTACTCAATCATTACAACATATATTTTTAATTATGCATTGTTTCCAACAACAGTAGCCAAGTTGATAGCATTGCAGCATAATCAATAGATGATGAGTTTGTAGACAGCCACACAGAGAAGGTACATTTTTAGTCTCATGCTTTACTCACTTTCACGCTTAACCACATGCATACATTTGAATCAACAGAAACAAAACAGAAGTGCAAAAGAGGAAAAGGCTAAATCAATTTCAATCAGCAGGAACCTGACCTTATGCTAACTATGAGCAACTGAGGCACTCAGCAACAGAGGAAAGCTGAGGCTGACCACATTAGTGAGCAGATATGTTATTATTAACCTGGCTTAAAGGAGAGCTGCAGAGCATACTTGTCAAATCTCAGCAGATGCTTCATATTAACGTCATGATATATGAGGTAGCATTGATTAATAACAACCACTATTCAAAGCAGTGTGTATAGACAAGATCTGACACACAGGATGATGATAATCCTTATGAGTCATATGTTAGCTGCACCTAAATGTTACCTTCCAACGGGGATTGCATGTAAGACCCCTGGAGTAGTCCCCACTGTAGTATCAAGCTAACCTTTGATCAGTAAACAGAAACAGATCTTGTATTAATTTGAAAACTCTGCACAGAGATGCTTCAGTGAGGAAAATGTCTATTTTATAATTACCCTGTAGTTAAGTTTAATTATGCTCATGTGAAAGATAAAGGGAAGCAAAGACAACGCTCTGTTGAATGTTGATATGAAGCTCTGGCAATTGTTTATCAGGAAAACTATATTATGCTTATTTATTTTCACACATATCTTCTGTGCTTATCAGTTGTTCTCATCACCTGACCATATCTATCCAATAACACCACAACACACCCTCATAATTAGCTCATCACACAGCTGCTGTTGTTTTAAATACGGCTTTCTTTCCCTCCAGCTCAGTTGTGCCGATTGCCGCCAAGTCCTTCAGTCGTTTCCATCTTCATCAGCCTCATCATTCCATCAGCCTCAGAGGACATCATCAAACATCTTCTCATCATCGCCCAGTCTTGGCAGTTCTTCATCTTCACTATCTCAATAGTCTCAGATGACATCATTGGCCATCACCTCCACTGCTAGTGTCTGGACTCCTTGAGGAGATGGATTCAGCTGCAGCTCAGGGCAGACATCCTCGAATCGCTCTTTCCTCTTGAGTTCAAACGGCAAAGAGACTCTGACAATATCTTAACGTCATGTCATCTCTGTGAATTAAAACTTGCCTTTAAGTCCTCAAAATGTCTCTCCTGGCTGAAATAAAATATAGCATCATCAGCATAGAGGTGAAAAAACCTATATAAGCAAAACTGAACATTTATTCTCAAAGTTAAGAGTTTAGGGCTGAAACAAGAAACAAGTGGAGGTTTTTTTTGTACCTTTATGTACTGTCATACAGTCATAGATTGAAAGCATCATCTTACTGTGACATGAAGTTAAATTTTGGTGCAATCGTCCTTTGTTCTTGTGAGCAAAGATTAGAAAGTTTCAATGAAGGAAGATGTTACCTGTGAGTATGCTAACCTTTGCTGTACTTTGTCTTATATGAGAGCTGATCTCTGTGATAAATAAAAAGTAACCCATCAAAGGATGACAGAAATTTACAGTAATTAGCCAATTTTTACTTACTTACAATACCTGACATTTTTTTAATAAGAATACTTAAAACACACTCGCAGCTTTTCAAACTCGTCATATTTGAAGTTGTGATCAAAAGTTTTAGATGACATTTGAAGGACAAAAATGTTTATATAATTGAATAATAGATGAGTCAAGTGTGTGATGAGTCCTTCTACCTTTTTCATTAAGAGAATAGGAAACAGCTCATCTTTTGGTATAGAATGGCATCTGCAGTCGAGTGAAGGGCACTTATTGTGAAAAATGTGTTGAACCAAACCATCAGCTGAAAAGACACCCACACAGGCCCACCCACGCTCACACATACACACACACAATACTCTCAAACTCTGCCAGGATCTTCAATCAAGCAGGTCAGTTTTTTAAAGAAAGAGCACATGAGACACATGGGTATTCCATGTTACATTTCTCAAAGTAATATGATAGAATGCAATCCACATGAAATTGATAGATAACTGTGCTTCATCACCAACTGTTTTAATACAGGATTTGGTTATTAGAGGCAGACAATGCATCATACTATGATACTGCTATAAAAGGTATTTAAAAGCAATTTTTGCAGAGACTTTAACATTTCCTCCTCTATAGGTGATGCATAGAAAAGGCAGATATTTATTTTATTTTTACACAATTTGTGGTTCATCAACTCCTACACACACAAAAAAAAAAACAGTGATTGCTTTTCTCTCTGTGTTTCATGACAGTGAGATAACAGAACAAAAAGTTCAAGGTGTTTTTTATGTTTATTAAACATACTGAGATTCTTATTGATGCTCTTTTATTGTTAGCAAAGGCAAGCAAGACTGTCATCAGCGAGATTTACACATTTTATATTGCAATTTTAATGTCTGAAAGCGCTGTGAGGTGGTAGGTGCCAGCCGAGCAGTTGCAGAAACAGCTCTATTCACTCTCTCCACATAAGATATTCCTAAAAAAAGATATCTTTAACTGTCAAAAGTTATCAAGATGAAGTTTGTTTTTATTTTTTTTACCAGAAGACACTAAATTAGCATGTAGAAGGTGAAAGTAATAAAGACTACTTTGTCCACAGGGGGGTGCCAAATCTGACACAAACCAAAAGTTCCTCACAGGAGCTTTAAAAAAGTTTACATTGCATATAACACTGAATGTAAGCCATTTTAACCTGATAAGTTGGATAAGTTTCTTAAATATATGTAAGGTAAATTCAGAAAAATTCTCTAGAAGACTTTGCTTGCTATATTAGCAGCTCTTTTTCACACATTCGCTCTTTTTTCATGTCTAGAAGGCACACAATTTTGAGTTGCAGTAATTTGAAATAAGATTTCTGTCCAGACTTGTTCAATCAGTGTTGCTCATGTTCAGAATAATGAGTTATCTTGTCTTAAAATGAGACCAAAAACCACTTGGTGGATTTAGTTTTTTGCTATATGAATCTAGAGCTGAGGTGCTCAAAATTTAGGACCTTTCACTTTTTAAGGTCATACAATCTTATTCAAAATATTCAAGAAATATCTGTTCATTTGTATATCTTTATGAAATTAGCAAAATACCTTTATTTTGAGAATTTCTAATTGCATATGTGCATCACTGTAGCCCATGTAACAGTTTTGCAACCTAACGGCTGGACAATTTTGATCTGTTTGACTAATAATTGTGCCAGCAATCATTTTATGAGAGTTAGTGCTACATAGTTTATCTGCAGACCTGTTACAAACCTTGTGTGCTGAGGCAGCCTGCAAATAAAGATGTCACAGAGGATGTGGTGGAGAGATGCACACTGAGGAAGGTAGAGGCCATTCTAAAAAAACATGGATCATCCACTTCACAACAACTTGATGGACCAAAAAAGCAATGGTGGTGGACAGCTCCCCTCTCTTCGCTGCAGGACAGAAAGATTCAGAAGATCTTTTGTACCCACAGCCATCAGACCTTTTAATTCTTCTATAAATTGTATATGACAGGAGACTCCAGACAAATGAATTTTCTTTTGGGGATCAATAAAGTTCTTGTATTGTATTCTTCCAATGTAACTCTATGAAAGAGATAGATAGCTATATCATCAATTCTCTGTTGGCTTAGATGTGCTTTATGTGGTATGGGAGGCAGACCTAGACATCTGTAGGGATAAATTTTTTATAAGGAAGCCCTCCTTGTGAGCATAGGCCCTCCAATAGCGTATGAAAAATTTACCATAATCAGTGAAATGAAGCTGAGCATTCAGCGAGAAATGAGTTGAAGGTGCACTCTGTGGTCTTACATGTGAAAAAAAGGCCGACCAAAGCTCTTTGACACACATGCAATGAGAGATCTGATGCTGCAACACCCAGCCTGGCTGCAGATTTCTTATTCCTGCACTTTGATCACTGCCGCTTTTTAAGCAGGTCCATTTCTCACTTGGTGTTTTCCTTTTATTCTGCTCCTCCAAACCCATTTTCTCTCTGTGGTTCTGTAAAAAACACAGCTGGGCCATTCTTCTCATTCCTCTGTTTCCTCTCATCTTCCCGTGCCTCATGATTAATGGTTTCATTACCTTTAAGAGAACATTAAGACACATTTTTGGATAAGCTGCATCATATCTGTCACAGGCTGGTTATATTTCTTCACTCTTGTCTCCTGTCACTTGATAACCTTGGCATGTAAAATGAAGCAATGATAGCTCTTTTCTAGATGAAAATGCTGTGTGACAATGTCTGTTTTTATCACTTTGTCATGTCTTTGTCAGTTTTCAAAGACACGTCAGAGTCTTAAGTCTTCTGTAGTTTAACCCTGGGATCGGTTTGGGTTGCCCTGTTCTTGATCCTTTCATGGATGCGATGCTACAGAGCGGATGTCAGCTCTACACACTAAACATAAACTGACAGTCTGATTGGCTTTTTTTCCTGAGCATAAATCCCTTCAGTTAAGGTCATTGACACACATCTGAATGTAATTGGATCACTTTTCTATTAAAGATCCCTCAATAAAATGCCAATTTATTGCAACAACCTCCATTTCTACACAGATAATGACAGTTAACTGATGTTCGACTCCCCTTAACCTAACTGCATGTATTTCATGTTTAAATATTGAAAATCAAATAAGAGTGGTATATCTGGGCACTGTTTATCCAATTTGACATTATTTAACCAGTATGGCTCATGGTCTGACAGGCAATTCCTCTTGATCTGGTGTGCATATCCAATTACAAGTTTTGAACAAAGCACTGCCGCATCCTCACATTTCAAGCTGAAATAGCGGGCTCTGTCAGTCATTAGCGGCTTGTTTACACATCCATCAGATCTCAACTCCCTCCTAACTGTAGCTTCAAACTCTATAGGGAAATATTGTCTGTAAAACTCCTAAATGCTGCAGTCTAGCTTTTTTCCAATTGTGTTCAAATGTCTTTTCAACACAGCAGCTTGTGTGCTGTGGGTTTAAAGATTTATTGATACAAACAGCAGCCTGCTTTGACCCGAGAGTGGAGAAGAGTAAACCCAAACATGAGCACAAGTCGTAGCTCAGACAGACAGGGGTGAGTTCAGAGGAGGCTGCTAGAGATGACGTGGGGCCCTCTTATAATGTGGCCACCCTTGATGCCATTTGATCTATGGCTGGCTATATTTGCCTCACTACAGGTTCTTTTGATGCTTTAAGGTGCAGAAACTACTTGGTGTCTATTCAAAAAACTGGTTTGTAGGTAAAGAAAAATTAAAAGTAAACTCCTGCACATTGTATTTATGTAAAAAAAAAAACACAGTCCATATTTTGTAGAAGCTGATTTGCAATCTCTTGAGCACAACCCCACTGGATGAAGCATTAATGAAACTGAGTTTAAATGAATCGAAAATGGTGCGAAATTGTGACTTCTCACTTATTTCAAATATCATCATCCACCATGACACAAAAAATATGACTAGAGACCCAGAACTATTGAGCAGCTGAAATCCTGTATCAAACAAGTATAGGGAAAAAACATTTAAATTTTTAAAAACTGAGCATGCTTTCCATTTAGCAATCCAGTCAACATTTGATATATCATTTTTGCACTGGCTTTAAATGATTTGCAGACAAACTCTTGTAGATTTTGGGAAACATAGCATCTGTTTGATTCTTAATATCAATACTGAAAGAAGCTTGACAAGTGGACACAAACAGGGTGAGAAAATTACCTTTCTGCATGTGTATGCATGCAGACTTCATGTCATCGCTGCATGACTCATCGCCTCAGTCGGGGAAGTCTGGACACACCCCTGCAAACAGGTTGTGTTGCTATGAAGGGCAAATGACGGTTGCAGCTGATGATAATCAGAGGTTTAAACTCAAGTAATGACTGCTTTTGATTCTTGCACTGTTCTTGTTTCTATTTTAAGTATGCAGGTGTTTAGTATCCTCTATTACTCTATAGCTTTCATTTTATGCACAGGAGTTACATTAATTAATCACTCAGGGAGGATTAACCAGCCTTTTCACAACAAATAAACCATATTTTACTTATATCTTACATATCTTTTTCAAGGCAAACTGGACAAATTTTAAATGTTTCATCATAATTTATGAACCTTTATAACAATA